TATGTTATATAATATATATATATATATATATATATATATATATATATATATATATATATATATATATATGTATTTGTTGTATTTAAGAGTAATAGTATATATTATATTTATGTATAATGCCATTTACCCTCAAATATAACATAAATTTTATATATTAGATAATATATTATATCTATTATTAATTTTTATATTATAATATTATTTATATAATAATATTTTTTTATTTATGGATGGAGTAGTGAGCTGGTTTCTATGTTTTATTTTGGTGTGGCAGGCAAGCCATGGTGGTGATGCATTTTCAGGTGTATTTTCTCCGTTTTTTTTTGTTAATTAATTATTTTATATTATTATATTATTATTAATTATATTTATAATAAAAATAAAAGTTATTATTACGTATATTCTCTAGTTTCTCTCCTCAGTGTAAGAGTGTGTGGCTTGGCACCGCTGCGATGACACTGTAGACCGGTCTGTCCGTTGATCCTGCTGTTTTTTTCATGAATTTGTTAATTTTAAGAGTGAAAATGTTTTAAATTTTATTTTTAATTTATATTTCTCGAGAAATTGCAAAAAAAACGAATAAATTATCTCTTTTATAGCCTCTGTTTTCTCTGGTTTCATACAGTATCCTTGGGGCCCCCAATCCATGTAGACCACCGGCAGCTGCTGCTCCCGCCTCCCTCTTTCTTTTTTATAATTTAATATTGTTTCTTTTTTATTTAATTGTTTTAATTTTATTTCTACAAAAATTTGTGTATTGAGGGTAATTTGGGGTGTATGTACACCGCAGACGCTGGGGCCGTCGTGGTCGCCATTGCAAGTCATTCATATTTTTCATTCTGCGTTCATTTCTTTATCGCTTTCTTTGCTTCTGGCTTTATTTTCCTGGCTAATAATTATTTATTTAATTAAATTATTTTATTTAATAAAAAAAAAGAAAGAAACTCTACAACGATGGCCGTCATCTGTGCGGAATTTCCATACACACTGCTCTCTGCTCCGTGGTTACTCGTGGCGTCGGCTGCAGTAAACCCCTAAAAAATACAAATTTAATTCAATTTTTTCTTTTTTATTTTAATAAAAACAATTATTTACAATGATTAACCCCGATATTCTCTCCAGAGGGGCCCCCTTTTCTGTGTATTCCTACTGGGGTGGGGGGGGCCCCCAGCACGGCGAGCTGCAACACTATGCTGGTTCTGCTGCTGCTGCTACTGCAGCAGCAGCAGCAGCAGCAGCAGCAGCAGCAGCACCCAATGCAGCAGCAAATTCATATACTCTTGCTGTGACAGACCAGGGAGACCTTCGACCTCGCGATGGTGGGTGTACGTACACCTGAAAACACCTGGCATCAGCTGGTTGCATTCTGCAGCAGCAACAGCAGCAGCAGCAGCAGCAACAGCAGCAACAGCAGCAGCAGCAACAGCAGCAGAACGGGTTAGAACATGCCTTACAGTTAATATAAATACACTCAATTCCAACTAATTAATTTTTCTTTTCCTTTTTAATTTATTTTTATTTTTTTTTCTTTTTCAGGCGGCAAAGCAGCAAAAGAAAAAGAAGAAGGCAGCTGGGTTTACTTTTGGTCTGTAGATACAGCAGCAGACGATCAACCCAGGCTAGCAGCCCCCCAACGCTTTCGTTCTTATTTAGGAATATCTACACTTGCATGCGGAGCCACTCTTGCTGCATTCATTGCAGGTGCAGCAGCAGCAGCAGCAGCAGCAGCAGCAGCAACAGCAACAGCAGCAGCAAGAACAGCAGCACCAGGACTATCTATTGATAGCCCTTTTGCATGCAACAGCAGCAGCAGCAAACACCCGCACTACCAGCAGCAGCAACAGCAGCAGCAACAGCAGCAGCAGCAGAACTATCTCTGCATGCATGCATGCATGCATGCAGTTCTATATTGTTGTTTTTTTTTTGCTCAGAAGACGGGCGTTTATACTGCTGGAATTGGCGAGAAAGCGGAAACATAAACGCATGCAGCCCGCAGCTTATTGAGGGAATGGGGCTGGAGTGCATGCATGTTGTTCATGTTGCATGCGGAGACGCTCACCTTGCATGCACTACAAGTATCTCTGCTGCTGCTGCTGTTGCTGCTGCTGCTGCTGCTGCTCACGCTGCTGCTGCTATTGCTGCTCATAGTGCGGGTGCTGCTGCTGCTGCTCATGCTGCTGCTGCTGCTGCTGCTGCTAGGTATAGATTTACATGCATGCATGCATGCATGCATGCATGTATGTGAGAAAGAGAATAAAGATAAATCATCCTAAGACAGCATACGGCCACAGTATATAAATATATTTATATATTTACCCCTCTATATATTTATCTATTTATATATTTATATATTTATTTATTTATATATTTATTTATTTATTTATTTATTTATTTATTTATTTATTTATATAGGTGAGGGTAGGGTGTTTACTTACGGTAGCGGCGATTGCGGGCAGCGAGGAAACGGGAAGCAGAGACCAGGCGTACAGACACTGTAAGATTTATTTTATAAATAAATAAATAAATAAATAAATAAATAAATAAATAAATAAATAAATAAATAAATAAATAAATATAAATATGTGTATATAGATTTGCATGACGTAAATATTAATGTATTAATTTATATGTATAAAAAAAAAAAGAAAAAGCATAGATACAAATATATAAATGTAAATATTTATATATATACTATATATTATATATTTTATTTATTTATTTATTTATTTATTTATTTATTTATTTATTTATTTATTTATTTATTTATTTAGGGGCCCTGAGGAGGTGTTGTTTGCGAAGAGGGCCGTTCAGGTTGCATGCGGCGCTCAGTTTACCCTCGTCCTTACAGGTATATAAAAAAAAATAA